GTCGTTTTATAATCTATATACCCCCGAGGATGTATAACGAAATTCCCCTGTTTGTTCGCGCAAGCTTTTAACGTTTGTTCCGCGGAGCTTGTTGTTTGTCCGCCGCGAGAATTAAAAGACGCGCGTGTCCTCGACTGGCCGCGAAAAATTTTCCTAGCCGAAAGTCCGCTACCTTTGTCCCATTTATTCACTTTTCGAAAACCTCTCCTTCAAACGATCGACGAAATTATTTTCTACTGCGTACTCGTTCGTCCTCCAAACTTCTTCCAGCGGACGTTCTCCCGAATCAATTAAAATCAAGACTTGCACTTTTCCTCCCTGCTCTTCAATCCGCTCTTTTAGCAACAGCGTGGGACAATACAACCGAGGAGTTCCCGAACTCCTCTAATCCTCAAGAGCGACGAAACTTGCGCCAGCGTTGTAACACCTGTCATTCGATTAATGAATCGAAGGTTTTAGCAAAGCAATGTACATACGCAATTAACTCGCGATAAGGTTGACCGTTTGTATATATACAAATTTAGAGCTTTTGGAGCTGTTGCTCGCTCTTAGGTGCTTACAATTAGTGCGGAGGTGGCTAACTGGCGGCCCTTGCCCCTACTTTCCTCGCTAGAGGTCGCTAGCGCTATCCCCTCCACTCCATTGAGCTCTCCACTGTGTCGAGAATATCGCGGTCACGATACTCACATTAGGTATATATATACATACAGTAGTCTCTAGTTTAGCATCCACAGTTCGGGACTGAAGGAAAGAAAGGGGATGTCAACTGTTTCACCGGCACTAATATCTATATAGTATATATATATAGCTTGTTTTGCGGTTGCATGGTAAGTTAACGTAGAGTGAGAATTTCAAGAATTAGTGAGGATAGCGACAGGCGTTTAATTGAGGAAACTTAACTGCATATATATATATTGTTTTCTTTACTACAGCTGCTAAAATTAAAATAGGGAAAGTAGTTTGTACGGTTCGCTTCGTAACACGGTGAGAACTAATTAATATTCATGGTGGAGGAATTGACAGACTCGAGTGAGTAGCTCGTGCGGTCCGCGACGAGGAATTAGTTCGTCGCCTCTGGCTTATTGCATCGCCAGTGTTGTGTATTTAAACAACGACGAAGAGTCAGCGGGCAGGCAACGAAATTAGAGCGTCAACGTCGTTCGTATCACTTTCGATCCTCGCATGACACGTTGCATGCTTCTGTAATTTTGTTCTTGGACATTTTGGCAACTGCGCACAGGTAACTTGTCAAACTTCGCTTTCTGGCGATACGATTAAAGACGAAAATTCGGCGTGGGAGGGAGAAAAATTGACAAAGATCCGACGCGGGAGGCTTGATAAGGAAGTTCCCAGCGTCGAGGGAAAGCTGATTTATTACTACCAGCGTTGGAAAAAAAGAAGGGAGGGTTGGAAGACGGACGAGCACGGCCTGTCAGGTGTATAACGCGTCGGAACTTGCGAAATTATTCCGTCGAGTTCTCTCTCTTCCCCCGTTGACTGCAACGCGAGCATCGCGAGACAACGTGCGAGGGATAGAGGGGTGTTGAGGAGGGGCGAGTCGCGTCTTAATTGTTCCAGACACGCAGCTCGACGCCGTTGCTCGACGCGTTTCACATTGAAAGGGGATAATTAGGAGAGACGCGACATCGTCGTTAACATTTTCTAAACCGAATTAGTAACGTTCAGCCGATAAAACGCGCCCTTTTATCGCTTATCGGCACGCTGCGATCTACGAATAATTCATGCCTTCCTCTCCCTCTCCATTGTCGGAAGTGCACGCTCGTGCACCCCTTTTAATCGCATTCCGCCACCGTTTTCTAAATCGCGACCGACATATCCGCGAACTGTGATTTTCTGCGATATACATCGTTATCGTCTCTACTCTCTCGCTCTTTCTCTCTCTCTCTCTCTTTGTTCTTTTTTTCTTTTCTTTCCTTCGTGCCGAGTTATCGCGAGATGAAGAATAACGAGGAGGAAGACATTTTTAATAGCGGGAGTAACAAAGTTTCTCTTGGTTATCGTAGCTGCTTCTGGGAATATTAATATCGAATTTTGTTACGTGTGCAGTTCTGTGCGAGAGTCTTGGTTTGTCTATGACAGTATAAGATGAATTAATATAGATAATATTAATATATTACCGCAGAGTGAAGACCATAATGTGACAGTGACGCTGTATGTAACAGTGCCAATGAAAAGTTTAAATTGATATAGCTTTGTAGATAACAATCCTATGATGATCATTTTCAAACTTTATCACGTACTTTCACAGTTCGCTTGTCTTCAACTTGACGACTTTATATTACGTAAAGTGTACAAAAACATTGAGAACATTTTGTTCATAACTAGATTTACCTAGATTATTTCGAAGATTGAAATCTCTTCTTTACAACGATCCCTCAAAACTTGTTGTACAATTTTTTCCCCACCATCTTGTTGAAGTTTAAGTATCAGGATTAAATGACAAGAATTCAAGAAAATTACGAAAAAAATATCGTGTAATAAATATAAATGATAGATTAGATTTAGTCGTAAAAAAATTTTTTTTAGCGTTCTCCAACATGAATTTTCACAATTCTTTCGAAGATAAGCACCCTTATTTTTCCATTCGCTACGCGATGTTAAAACATCGTTTTCCTTTGAAAAAAAAATGAACCCACGATCGTCAAAACAGAAGTTTTAAAATGAGACCAATATCGTCACATCGCGATTCTTTTTTCACAAAGAGTCTTTTTTAGAGTCAGTTGAAGTTATTTTTCATTGTCATTGGTAACTACACTCGCTTCCACTG